TTAAGAATTCCTGAAACGTGCTGGGCTTGTTTTGGCAAAGTGCCCACCTGAACATCGATTTGGGCTTCAGCCCGGAGATGACGCTCACTAGGAGAGTTTCAGGGTGACACGGTTCCATGTTCTGTACGCGTTCGTTGAAGCGTGCAACGTACTCCTTCAAGCTTTCGTCGCCTTTTTGGACGTTGTTGGTTATTGACTCTTTTGGAATTCGACAAACCAGTGCTCCGATGAAGTGGGAGCGGAAGACCGACCTGAGTTGGCCCCAACGTCGGATGGATTGCGCCGGTAGCGAGTAATATCATTTCTGGGCTTTTGGCCCTAGAGTTAGGGAGAACATACGGCACCTGAGAGCATCGGTGGCTCCATGCAGGTCCATCCATGAGATATAGTGGCCGAGATGGGCGTCGGGATCCGACGTTCCGTCATAGAGGCCGATTTGTGGGACTTTGATTTTACCGGGCAGTGGCTCTAAAGTCAACTCGGGAGACAGCAGGGAATCCGTTTCCACGTACACATGGCCGGTCTCTTGAGTGTGTGGGTTGGGGGGCAACCTTACCCTTCTGGCTTGCAAAGTTTCAAGCTCTTTGACCCTTCTTCTCAGGGCTTCCATCTAGGGGTTATCGCGTCTAGTTGTTCGACCCCTCTCTATTTGATGTCGAAGGTCAATAGAATTTCCCGTTGACCTGAATAAGGGTCGGGCGACGGTGGTTTCCCTTCGAACGTGCCCGGATTGGCTCTCCGCCGTCATTTCCTGCAGATTATGCTTTTGAGGATTCGTCGCCTGAGCAGGCGGTCGTCAGGTAGCGTCATCTCGAGGTTGGGACGTCGCGTGTGAGCGAGTTTGGTTGTTTGCACCTTGATTTAATTGCTGCGTCACTGGTCTAGCCGGAGTAATAGGCGCAAGCGATTGTCCCGACACGACTCTCAAGGTTCCCGGCATGGTCTGAGCCAACAACGTCGAGAAACCTTTCACAAACTCGGGGTTCAACATGAGCGTCGCTAGATCCGGTATTGTCGTTGTGTTGGCTCTACCGGCAGAAGGGATTGGGCCGCGACTGTCCTCTCCCCTTGTTGTTTGATCATCTTGTCCTAATTGCGCCATTGCTTTGTATTTCCGTGCTAATGGCAACTCTTTTTTTAAGGATGCTGGATTCAAAGATTGACCTCAAGATATCTTATGAGGCCATTCCTCTAACGCCTAAGTGTTGATAAACAGATTTGATCAACTAATTTAATATTGAATCTCGGAGATTAAGATGGGATTGTGGTTGCTTTATTGATGAAATACGAAATTCTTGCTAACTGACACAAGTCGGTATTTTTGTCTTCTAGTCGGTTTTTAGCGTTACAAGTAGTCTACTATGCGCTTGAGCCGAGGTGATAAATACAGGATTTTATGTGTTAGAAAGGATCCTCGTATCGAGTTTAATGCTGCTATTTATAGTAACTGTGGGCTCATCTTTTTATGAGATACGACGGCATTTAATGAGGTGTGACGGAGTAGGTCAGGCTTTCTCTGCAAGTGGGTCCCGCAGCAATGATGTTCTCACGTGGTTTGAGACATTTGATAGACATGCATTAAATGCAGCCTGTCGACACCGACGTCAGCCTTCAGGGATGTCGTACCCATTTGAGTCGGCTTTTCTGGGGAGATCGGAACCTCTAGGGAGGTCGGTTTCTCCAGCTCGGGGAACTCTCCTTTTCCACTATTCGACGCGGCTCATGGCTCTCTCCACGGTCCACCTGTCGTTCATCCTGCGTGCGAGATGATTCTTATGTCAACAAGTTATATAATATAATATATAAATATGAATATATATATATATATATATATATTAAATATTAAATAAAATAACTTGTATGACATTAAAATTAAAAAAAAAAAGTTAAAAAACATGAACGCGAACATGTCGAACAATTCGAACACGAAATTGTCGAACAATTCAGTTCACGAACAAGTTCGACTATGTAAATGAACAAACACGAACGTATAATCAATAAACGAACGAACACGAACAAAATTTTTTTCTTCGTTTATTAAACGAACGAACACGAACATGTTCAAAAATTAGTCGAACTCAGGCTCGAACACCTTAAATTCGGTTCTATTCGGTTCAATAACAGCCCTAATAGTCCCATATGATATTAAATATAGTGTTAATACCACTAATTGACCATATAAATTTACAAAACATGAATTTTAGCCATGTTTTGTAAAAAACATGTCTTTTAGCCATTTTGGCATGTGAAAATACCACCTTATCCTTCATCTCAATATTCATTTTCCATTATTTTGCCAAACCAATTTGCTCCATTTTTTCACCACAATCAATTTTTTCAAATCAGTAAGGCGAGAGAGAGAGAGAGAGGCATCACCTTCATCCCGTAATCCCGTCCGTCACCTTCATCACATCATCTCGTCAAACGACCCATTATCCGGCCACCGTCGGCGAAATCCAGAGCACCGGAGCCAAAAAATCGATTAGGGCACACAAAAAAATGGGGGCGAGCAGCGACCCGAACCAAGACGGGTCGGACGAGCAGCAGCGCCGCTTCGAGTTCTACACCTATGAAGCCCCATGGAACATCTACGGCCTGAACTGGAGCGTGCGAAAGGACAAGAAGTACCGCCTCGCATTGGCAGCCTCCTCGAGCAGGACCCTAACCGCGTCGAGATCGTGCAGCTCGATGACTCCACCAGCGGGATCTGGCCCGACCCGGCACTACCCTTCGACCACCCCTACCCGCCCACCAAGCCCATCTTCGTGCCCGACAAGGAGTGCCAACGCCCCGATTTGCTCGCCTCCTCCTCCGACTTCCTCTGCCTCTGGCAGATCTTCAATTTCGAAGACGGCCACCGCGTGGAGCTCAAGAGCTTGCTGAACAACAACTGAAACAGAGAGTTCTCTGGGCCACTCGCCTCCTTCGACTGGAACGAGGTCCAGACGTAGAGGATAGACACCTCCAGCATCGACATCACGTGCACGATCTGGGGTATCGAGAAGGAGGTGATGGGCACGCAACTGATCGCCCACGATAAGGAGGTTTATGACATAGCCTGGGGAGGCGTGGGGTTTTTTTTCCACCGTCTCAGCCGAAGGCTGGATTAGGGTTTTTGATTTGTGGCATAAGAAGCACTCACATTATCTACGAGAGCTCTGAGCCGGACAACCCATTGATGAGGCTCGACTGAGAAGCCGAGGTACATGGCCACCATCATAATGGACAACAACAATATTGTGGTGCTCGATATACGTTTCCCGACGCTGCCCGTGGTGGAGCTGCAGCGGCACCAGGCGAGCGTGAACGCGATTGCGTGGACCCCACATAGCTCGTGCCACATTTGCACGACCGGAATTGGATATGCTCTTGTTCCAATGATTGCCAGGGGAGTTATGTTGGGCCCTGATCAGCCAGTTATACTACATATGCTGGATATCAAACCTGCTGCTGAGGCCCTTAATGGAGTTAAAATGGAATTGGTTGATGCGGCTTTTCCTCTTCTTAAAGGTTAACAATCTATATTTCTTTTTCTTTTTTCTTTTTCTACATCTTAGGTTTCATTTTACTACACTGTTGACATACTAAGACTTATAGGCAATTATTACACATTTTTTCTGATGTTAACTCGGCTGTGGATTGTTAGCTTATATAGTTACTTACAAATTTTTTGGATCAGGTGTTGTTGCTACAACTGATGCTGTCGAAGCTGGCACTGGCGTCAATGTTGCTGTAATGGTAGGCGGGTTCCCGAGGAAAGAGGGTATGGAGAGGAAAGATATGATGTCCAAGAATGTCCCTATCTACAAGTCCCAAGCTTCTGCTCTTGAGAAGCATGCTGCTGCTAACTGTAAGGTGAATGGCTGTTCACTACCTTCACTGCCTTTCGAATAATAGTTATGGAGGGAAACTGGAGGAGAGGGGAATCTATATCGTAGGGAAATGCAGGGTACAAGGGTCAAACCTTGTATCAACAAGTGTAACACCCTTATAAGCCTTCATATCTGGAAAAATTATTTCAAAACAACTGTAAAAGGAATCTGACTGGTTATGTTGATATCTTACTGGAAGTTGGTACTTATTGTATTGAGAAATTTCAATTTATATTCTTGTTGAACCTATGTCCCAGGTTTTGGTTGTCGCTAATCCAGCTAATACCAATGCGTTGATTTTGAAAGAATTCGCGCCATCTATCCCTGAGAAGAACATTACTTGCTTGACAAGATTGGACCACAACCGGGCCCTTGGACAGATTTCAGAGAGATTGAATGTTCAGGTGTCGGATGTGAAAAATGTTATTATCTGGGGGAATCACTCTTCTATGCAGTATCCTGATGTTAACCCTGCTACCGTCAAGACCCCAGCTGGAGATAAGCCTGTTCGTGAGCTCATTGCTGATGATGCATGGTAAATAATTATGTTAATGTTTAATTATCAGCATTTGCAAGAGTTGGCTTTATAGCATGTCTCTTATTATTGTATATTTTGTTAGGTTGAATTCAGAATTCATAACCACAGTCCAACAGCGTGGCGCTGCTATCATCAAGGCTAGAAAGCTTTCTTGTCCTCTTTCTGCAGCCAGTTCAGCTTGCGATTACATTCGTGACTGGGTCCTTGGAACTCCGGAGGTAATGCCGTTTCCTATGTTCTTAATTAATGGGTGGTTGACTGTCGATTCTCATAAATCTTGTTTTGTATTTATGATTCTAGGGTACTTGGGTTTCTATGGGTGTATACTCTGATGGCTCATACAATGTTCCAGCTGGACTTATTTACTCCTTCCCCGTTACTTGCAAGAATGGTGAATGGTCCATCGTTCAAGGTGCGTACATGAGTAAAAACCTCATTAAGGTCCAACTTTTGGGAGTGTTTGCAATTACCATTAAAAGGGGAAGTGGTTTAATGTCTGGTTGGGAAAGAGTAGTTTGTAGTGTTTTCAAATGTCTACTTCTCATTTAAATATTTGAGATTTGTGCTTTGGTTAGTGGTTTGATTATATTGAAGCGATAGATTCTTTAAGAACTCGATTCTTAGCTTCTATTTGCATGAATAATCATTTTTTTGGGTGACGTGACAGTTCTTTAGCATTTGCAAAGATACACATAATGTTATTGTCAATTATAGTGTATTTGGTACTTTGACAATTGTGGTGTGTTTAATACTTTGACTTCCAGTGGTACTGCTTTCTTGCTTTCTTGTCTCTGTTGGATGTATGTGGTACTGTTTTATTTTGTCTTTGTTGGATGTTTTTGTAGGAGCATCTAGTTTGTTGGAGGATTTTGTTGTTTTAGATATGTTTTCTTATTTTTTGTTTAGGTGGCTTTGTATGTAAGGATGCTTGTGTGGATGTATTACACGAGTGTTTGTTAATAAATTTATATTTAAAAAGAAAAATAGTAATTTTTTTTTTTAATGTCAAATACTTTTTTGAACAACTATATATATTACTATTTATATTTAAAATAACACACATCACTTATACGACTTACAATCTTATATTAGCAGTTGTCCCTGTGTACTCCATTAGCAACACAAAATGATGTTGTTTTTCAGTCATCTTATTGCATTATGATTCTAGTTCTTCTTTCTTTTCGTATAATTATTTTGTTATGAACATGCAACACGTTGGTGACAGGATGGGTCCCTCACTTCTTCGAGCAGGCAGAGGGATGACACTATGAAAAAATAACTACAAGACAACAACAGAAATCCTAATAGAAGCATTTTTCGATATTACGATTAGATAATTATTTAATCATTCGAAGCACGCCCCGTTCTAGATCTGAGGATTTGGAGACCGTGAAGAATGATTTGGGGAAGGATGATTTGGGGAAGGGAGAAAAATGGAGGCAAGAAAGAGAGCATTCCAACGAAAATATGATCTTGTATGTTTGTATTATCTGCAACGCACCCTTATTTTGTTATCAAAAAAAAAATTGATTGTTTACATCCTTGGTAAATTATGTTGGATGGTATGAAATGTACTTGTAACATTTGTAACATTTATAACATTGTTAGTTTGTAACTTCGGATGACAGGTCATTTTGGTATGTAATGTTCTCGAACATTGGGTGGTGTGCGGGACTGGGAGATCGAGCTTTACGACTCCTTTAGCCACCTTTCATCGTCGAAGGCGTGTAATGACGGAGAGCTTATGTTGACCCCTCTCCGACGACTGCTTCCCACACTCCTTCACCAGTCCGGTTACTTTGGTGCTTTGAATATTCCGCCCAAGTTAGATACCTTATCGATAAGAGAATGCCGAGTGAAATTCAGTTTGTTCAAGAGGATACCCATAATTGTGGTGTATTTGCTTGCATGTACGTTGAACGCATGCTTGGCGAGGACATTCCCCGAGAGCCGGACATAAGTTTATATAGAAAGAAAATGGCATTAGCAATTTATGCTCATAGTATTCCCATGTCGAATTAGTGTCATATTTTGGGGCTTTTGTTGTGTAATGCTATTGCTAATTGTAGTGTATTTGGTACTTTGACAATTGTGGTCTATTCGATACTTTGGGCTTGTGAATTGTTTCCCGAAATTGTAAAAGATTCTGGAATGTCATGGAAGGGTGACAACCTTCCAAGGGGCGCCCGATGGACATGTGGAAAGGTGTCATTCAATGGTGCCAATGAACTCGATAATGCTGAGGTAATTCTTGGTTTCATTAAAAATCAATATCTTATGAAGTGTATGTTTAACTTCATGTTTAATTTGGAACAATGGCTTCTAGGTATATTTGTAGATTGAGTATTTGTTATATAGTAGGTACTTGGAACAATTCGGTCAAATTGTGCAAGTCAGATTCATAAAAAATTCTCTATTTTTCCAACTCTCCATTTTAATTCGCCATCAAGAAGTGAAATCGATACTCACATGTGTGTTTGTCTCCACCAACAATGTCATTAACTCTATTTAAAAAGTCTTCATACGACAAACTCCCCAAACGCGTAAAGTTCACCTCTGCCTGTCCATTTTTATAAACATTCTCATCCCAAAATCCGCTATGCACAATTCGAACTTTTTTCACACATCTGTAAACCAAAGATGTAAAAGTATTTAATGACAAACAATTTCTAGCAAGAAATATTTGAGAAATAAGTAATCAATGTTTATAATAAAATAAATAAAATGGTTTATAAAATAATTTTTGAAATCACACAAATTGTTTAGACGACTCGAAAAACATTTTTGGGATGTATCTATTGTTTCTAAGATCCCATAAACCGTGTTTCTTGTGATTCAAAACAGATTTCTGGGACAAAAAATCGATTTCTGGGACTAGAAATTGATTTCTGGGACTAGAAATCAATTTCTGAGAATAGAAATAGATTTCTTGTCCAGAAATTGGATTTCTGGTCCCAGAAATCACATTTCTAGGTTAGAAATCACTTTTTTGAGACTAGAAACGAGATAATCTAAAAAACAATTTATGGGTACCAGAAATCACATTTCCGACACAGAAATCTTATTTCTGACACAGAAATCAATTTCTGTGTCAAAAACGTAATTTCTGGGCCAGAAATCGCTTTCTTGACAAGAAAGCGATTTCTAGATCGATTTCTGACCCAGAAATCGAGTTATGGGACAAGAAACGAGACGATCCAGAAATCGATTTCTTGGTCAGAAATGTGATTTTTGGGTCAGAAATCGATTTCTGTGATTTCTGGGTTAGAAGTCGATTTCTAAGACAAGAAACGAGACTATCCAGAAATCGATTTCTGGGTCAGAAAAGTAATTTCTGGATCTGAAATCGATTTCTGGGTCAGAAATCGATTTCTAGGACATAAACGAGACTATTCAGAAATGGATTTCTTGGTTAGAAATGTGATTTCGGGGTCAGAAATCGATTTCTGGGTCAGATATCGATTTCTAGGACAATAAACGAGACTATCCAGAAATCGATTTATGGGCCCAGATTCGATTTCTAGTCACAGAAATCAATTTCTGGGCCCAGAAATCAATTTCTGGGCCCAAAAATCATTCAACGTTCCAAGAAATCTATTCTACATTTTTTTTGTCATATTCATTTTATTAATTTGAATAATATATATATGTGGCCCATTAAAAAGAAGATAAATTATAACAATACTTTTACACTAATATTTCCAAGATATCACCGAAATGTTGCCGGAATGAATATAGAGAAAATGATTTTTTTTAAGAGAATAAGTTTATTTTTTTTTTTGATATTAATGGAAATAGTGAATGAAGTTAGTTGAAAATGTAAGAGAGAAGAGATATGAAATTTTTTTTAAAAAAAATGATATTAAGGGTATTTTAGTCTTTTCATGTGCCAAAATGGCTAAAAAAGATATTTTTTCAAACTATGGCTAAAATTTGTGTTAGCCATTTCAACATGGCTAAAAAAAAAATTCACTGTTAAATATAACTCATAAATAGTTCTGACACCATACTTTCAAGAACTAGTTTTTATTTTAATTTTTAACTAACCTAAATCCCTATAGGTATCTATATAAAATTATAGTATAATATATCGCTTTATTCTATTTCAGTTTCTTCTCCTCCCGTGAAGTCAATTTCCATCTCCATATATTTCCGATCAAGTTTCTACGGCGATGGCGAGCGAGAATGAACCGGCGAAGCTGCTTCTTCCTTACCTTCAGAGAGCCGATGAGTTGCAGAAACACGAGCCCCTCGTCGCCTATTATTGTGAGTCTCAGTTACCCTCTTTCTCTGGTGTGGGCGTTTGTTTCTTTTTCCATCTCCCTAATTTCGATATCGCTGAATTTTCTACCAACCTGTACAAAACCCGCTGCGTCCTAGTTTAATCGTTGATTTTTCACCTTTCCTTTATGGATGCAAATAATTGAACAGGTCGATTGTACGCGATGGAACGTGGATTGAGAATTCCTCAGAAGGAGCGTACAAAGACGACCAACGCTCTACTTGTTTCGCTCATAAATCAGCTTGAGAAGGTTTTTGTTCATTTATGACCCCTTTTCTCCTCCTCTTCTGCTTTTCCCCTCTTCTTTTTACTACTTGCTGTCTAAGCAAATTTTCCTCAGTTTGCCTTTGATTTGTACTTATGGAAGCCGATGCTCGTCTATTTGCACCGCCGATGGTTGGGAATTATACTGGAGGAGAAGGGTTTCTTCGGAGACTTATTCTTTTTGGGTCACTTTTAAGTTTCTGGGTTGAGTAATATCAGGCAGTTTGGTTTTGTGAAGCACTAAGTATGCCTTTTTCTTGAACCATCATGTTAATAACTGTATTTAGTTAATCATAGTGTTTGAGCTTATAGATCATGGGTAGAATGATATTGATATGAATATGCTGTTTAGTGCCTTAGCTTTTGTGTACTATCTTGTAGGATAGGAAGTCATTGACTTTGGGGCCTGATGATTATCTACATGTGGAGGGATTTGCCTCAAATGTCTTTTCGAAGGCAGACAAACAAGATAGAGCTGGGCGGGCCAATTTGTATGTTTCTTTCCCTTGCTTCATTCAATTATTCTTCTATTTTAATGCAGCCACTTTTAGATTGTTTTATTATGCAGTTTGGACACATTTATGTATTATTTGCATTCTGTGCCTTTAGTGTTTGAGGTGTTCTATTAGTTTAGGCCAACTTTTGAGTTATGACATTACAATATGATATGAAATACTGGATGGATTAGGGATCTTGTGTTTGGCGATTCATATTAGCAAGGTAGATGTTTGCTACCTTAATTTTCTCATAGAAAAATGGTGATGTTCTTCTCATGCTTTCTCTGTATTTGTGATCAAGATTGTGGTGATATATATTGTGGCTTGTGGGATTTTAGACTTATAATCACTTTCTTTGAAAGTGTAAACAATACCAAATTCCAATTAGTGTAAACTTGTATGACTTGCCGGTATGTCATATAAGATAAAAGTCCACTTAAAGCTTAGAAAGTTAGAACACTGATGATTTTATAATTGTGAGTAAGATTCCCGTTGAATCAGTCCAGCATGTCTTTCTCCTCTATATAATTTATGACCAGTTATTTTCTGTTAAGAAACTATCTAGTAACTAGTCTTTATATAATACCTTGAAGTGTTGAAGAAAATCTTCTGTCTAGTTTTCAGTATAATGCTAAAGCCGAGGATTTCAAACTCTGTGAGTCTTTCTATTGTAATTGGAGGTATACATGTGAATTAATTCGAGAAAACTATGGTTTCCATGTGGTGTTTCCAGTATCTTTGGGTTCTTGGTGTCCTCTTGTCCATGTAAACTGTCCTTGTAGTGAGGTGCATAAGTTGTCCAGCTACTACCTCATTATTTTTATATGCAAGTGCTTAGATTCATTGCTCATTTGCACTCATATTGTACTGGCTAGGAAAATTGTTAGTCGTGACACTTGCATGTTCGTTATTGATCTTTCTCTTCTTTCAAAATTGAACTTGATGACTTCAAAGTGGAATCCGTGCACGCAGTCATGGGAGATATAAATGTAAATGGTAATATCTCATCCCAGTGGATTTCTTCTTATTGCTACAGGAACACTGCAAAAACATTTTATGCTGCAAGCATTTTCTTTGAAATCCTGAATCAGTTTGGAGAGATTCAGCCTGATGTAAGTTTTTGCATGGTTGTTTAAATACACAATATTAATGATATGGTTATTTTGGGTAACTTCGCTCAGTTACGTGTAAGAGATAATTATCATGACGTTATATCTCCAATTTTTCCTTGTTTACAGCTTGAACAGAAACAAAAGTATGCAGTATGGAAAGCGGCAGATATTCGGAAAGCTCTGAAAGAAGGAAGGAAACCTGTGCCAGGTCCTCCTGGTGGTGATGAAGATCTGTCTGTACCATCAAGTGCACCAAGTGGTGGATACGTATGATATTTACACCTCCAGATTTCTCTACTCCAAGAAAACTGAAAGATTGCAAATTTTAAAAAAAAAAAAAAAAAATGGCAATTTGGGCACCAGTAGACAATCACAAGTTTCTGCATTTCATGACACGTTATCATCACATTGTCTGGAAATTATTGTTTTGAATGAAAGACAAACATTACAAGTTCTCTTTGTATTTTTGTAGGATCTTGAACCTAGCAGAAGTGATTCCACCACCAGATTCGACTCGAGCAGGACTGATCCCTCCACACCAATCCCTCCAGATTCAAATTCATCACCTCAGCCATACGATAAGCTCAATTCCCAATATCCGACCGACAATATTTCACAACCCTCAAATGTTACTAATTCGCCCTTTACAATCCCTCCATCCCCGCCTCACTATCCAACCAACGAATACCCGTCCCACAATTTTCAACAGGCACCTGAAAATTTTCACCAGCCTCAGCCTCCTGATAATATTCACCCCCAGCAATACAAGCCCGAACTGCCCCACCACCTTCCTCAACATTACATACCCCAAGACATGGCCCCACCATACTCATACCCAAATTTCCAATCCTACCCCAGCTTTTCCGAGAGTACACTTCCTGCAGCTCCATCTAACCACCCTTCTTTTTACCAAGGCCCAGATGCTTCCTATTCCAATTCTTCGCCAGCTGGCGCGGCTAGTTATCCTTCGGCTGTGCAGTATGCCCCAGCCAATAGGAACGGGAATGTTCCGGAAGCTTCTCAAACTACGATGCCAAAGTACGAGTATGACTCTAATTATCAGCCTCCACCTGAGCAAATTGCGGAGGCGCACAAGGCAGCTAGGTTTGCAGTTGGTGCATTGGCGTTTGATGACGTTTCTGTGGCAGTCGAGCATCTTAAGAAGTCACTTGAGTTGTTGACTAGGCCATCGGCTAGACGTTGAGCTTAATTAAATAAAAATAAAAAATAAAAAAGTCCGTCTACTTTTATTTATCTATGTGATTTGGTTCTGTGAGGTTTGGTGTTGAAAATGTGGAGTACATGTGTAAATTGTGAACTTTATGGATGGTTGAACCATGGTGGTGTGGGTATGATTTTGTCTTACCTCTCGGGCCAATTTAGTGACTACTTTTGAAAACCTTAGTTCTCATCTCATTTCTCTATTTATAAAATAGAGGGAGATAACACCATGGATTGAAGTTCAAAGGACATATTTAGTTATTTTACTTATCACCAATTTGGGTGATAAGATCGGCTTATCTTTCTCTACTGTTTGAGATCAACTTATCTCATGTTTGATTGTCACCTTTTTGTGCGTGCGTGTTGTTTTGTCAATTGTTTTGATTTTAGTCATTGTTTTGTCAATTGTTTTGATTTTGTGACTAAAACTGATTAACCAAAAATTTTAGCAACATTTCGAATGGGATACAAAAAACATCTTAAAAGGAATTCTTTTTTCCCATAATGCGGTAACCGTTCCATTTCTGATGTTTGCTGATGATATGTTGCTCTTTTTGGAAGCCACGAATGATCAGGTGACTACATTACGACAGGTACCTGATGGGTGACTACATTACGACAGGTACCTGATGGTTTCTGTTCCAGGTCAGGCCTTCGGGTTGGCCCAGAAAAAACGCATGTCTTTTTTCCCATAATGTGCCGGCATATGAGCGTCTGCGGCTCTCGACGGCCCTTAATTTCAAACTGACGACCAATTTGGGGAAGTACCTTGGGGTGCCCGTCCTTCACGACCGGTTATCCAAAGATACCTTTCACCATATTCTGTAGAAGACGGAGTCCTGTTTAGCTGGTAGGCGCATGCAAACGCTTTCATTGGGTGGAAGGGTGACCCTTACGCAGTCGACGTTGAGCACCCTACCTTTCTACTTGATGCAAACGAACATGCTCCCGAAGGCTATAAAGGAAGGCCTTGCTAAGAAGTGTCGAGCATTTATATGGGGTGGTACTGAAGCTCGTAGGAAGATACATTAGTGACTTGGAAGGATGTGTGCAAACAAAAAACTGAAGGCAGATTGGGTGTCCGGGACCTCCATCGCATAAATGCTGCCCTCTTGATGAAAGTCGGGTGGGGATTATTAACTAAACAAGAGTCCCTATGGGTGCGTGTAATAATGGCTATGTACAAATGAATTTATCGGCCTCGTTGGAATTGGGAACCGAGCGGCATATCTCGCACTTAATGCGGGCGGTTCATCAGGTCTGGCCACAGGTAATCAACGGGGTTAGGAGGATTTTGGGGAATGGCGAGAGAGCGCGGTTCTAGCTTGATTCATGGTTAGACTTGAGTGGCCCGCTTGTCCAGTATATTGACCCTCGTTTACAACCGGTTAATCTTACTGTTGTTGTTGCCGATTTGGTCAATTCCAATGGAGAACGAAAATGGGCTTGCTTCCACGACATTCTCCCTTCATCTGTTGTTCTTCAAATCGCTGGGAACTTACCACCGCGCGCGGCTGCCGGAGAGGACCGCATGATCTGGTGCCTGTCTGCGATCGGTCGATGTACGACAAAATTCGCATACGACTCACTGTCTCCCACCTTGCGAGACAACCATCAACCGTTGTGGACCACCATTTGGCGTACTTCTGCACCACAGCGCGCCCACATATTTTTGTGGCTAGCCGCCAAAGACTGCCTCTTCACCAATGTTGAACGTGCCCGGCGGCATTTAATGGCCTGTGAGTTGTGTGGGGAAATAGAAACGACGCTGCATGTTCTTAGAGACTGCCCCCCAACACGAGAACTTTGGCTCCGCCTATTACCGCCAGATCATGATCGGAGTTTTTTCCGGCTTCCCCTGGACCAATGGTTGCGTAAGAATCTCTCGTCGGTGCGAGTGGGATGTGGCGGGGAGTGGAGTAGCACGTTTGCCATCGGTGCATGGCGCTCATGGATCTAGCGCAACGCGCGGGTCTTCAAAAACCAATGCCTTGCGGTCGAAGTTCGCCGGCTGGAAGTTCTGCGGATCAAGGAGAGCTACTCCCGAGCGAGAGCGGCTGTTAATGTTACTAGGATGATTCAGTGGACTCCTCCACCGGCGGGTTGGATTAAAGTCAATTTGGACGGAGTCGCTTCCACTGCCACAGGCCTGAGCTGTGCGGGGGGATTACTTTGTGATGGGAATGGAAGATGGATTGCAGGCTTTCTTTTCAAAATCGGCTTCTGCACTATTACGGGCGCTGAACTGTGGGGTATGTTTCAGGGGCTTTTGTTGGCTTGGAAGATGGGATACCAGAAAGTTATGGCTGAGGTTGATAGTCTATGCGTGAAGAATATGGTGTGCGATTCGGATGACGATTTGGGGCCTCATGTTGCACTGATACGAGCTATCCGAGAGTTGATTCAAAGAGATTGGAGTATTAATATCCAACACATATATAAGGAAGCTAATTATGCGGCCAATCACTTGGCGAGCCTAGTGGACTCATATCCGATTGGTGTTCATTGTTTAGCTTCCCCACCGACCGGGCTAGGCTCTTGGATTGATCACGACAATATCGGGGTGTCGTATCCCCGTGGAGTGCTAGCTTAGTTTTTTAACTTATTTCTTTGTACCAAAAAAAAAAAAAAAGGA